TTTCAAAGCTTTTATTCCCCAGCTTCTTCCTTCCCACACTTTTTTGCCTGGTCATTGCTTGTGCCAACTCTGATTCCTTCTCTAGGTGGCTATAACTAATACATTTGCCTCTTAATGTTTTTGATAAATGCCAGATCCCAGAATGCTGTCCCCTACCTTGGTGAAGCTCCAAGGCAGGTGAAACTGGCCCTTCAGTCAGTCCTTCAGGGAATTGCCAGACTGGTCAAAGTACATAATGACAATATGTTTTAGAATAAGATCCCTGTTGCTCCCTTTGGTACCAGCACCCTATACCAGGAATGAGGGCAAATGACTTTCTACCAGCATCCTGTATCAGGAATGAGGGTTGATGACTTAGGTGGACCACCAAACTGGGGGAGGGGGCCATAGTAAGCAGATGTGTTAAAATGCCACAGCCCTTTCTCACTGAAATTCTGTAGCTGCTTTCTTCACTAAGCATTCCCTTAGCTGTTAAGTTTTTTATTCAGTTCCAGAATTTCAAACAAGCTGATTCTGACCATTTCACCAGCTATTCATTTCTTTTGTGGAGGGATGGAGTTTTGGAGCTCTCTACTATTTTGTGACATCTACATGTATATACATTATTACATATCTATGAATTTCTACCTATATAGTTTAGGGATTCATAGATATTTTTAAAGAATGTCAATAAATTTATTGGTATGATAATCAGCAATTCAGGATATAGGTTACTTCTGGTAAAGAGAGGAAATGTGATGGTGGTAGGGACGCACCAGGATGGTGGGTACGTGATTGTTTGACGTGTGATTCTTTTTATGTTTTCTGAATACTTGAAATTTTTATATAAAGTTAGATAGTTGTATGTGTCTATATGACATATATAAAACATTGTGACACTCAAGCATTTTGTTGAAGTAGAAAGTCTTGTATATGTTTATTCAAATAACAAATCTTGCTTTCCCTTTAATAAGTAAAAGTAGGAAATATCACACTTGAAATGCTTAAGACTGTACGATGGGATAGGGAAGAATCTTCTACTTATTTGTTGATGTGTATGGATTGATTGTCTTGTGTTTTTCTCTAGATCTTAGTTTCATTGTACCCTCTCTGCAAGCTTTTTCTGTAAGAATGAGAATAGGAAGGCCTGAGTGTTAATAGGTAGTTGATAGTCTACTGTTTTTATTTTCATTTTTCTTCTTATGAAGAGGAGGAAAGAAGTAGAATCCTGGAAATAGCACTAAAGTGGACTTTGGGAGATCTTTGTCTTTGTTCTTTGTTCTAGTATTCATCTAACAGTGTAAATTTGGACAGTTCTTATATTCTGTGCCAGTCCGTTTCTCTCATCTTGGTCCTCATTTGTAAAATAAGAATTGGAACAGATCAGTAAGGCCTGTTTCAGCTTTGTAAAATCCGGAAGGGCACCATGATTCTATGGAAAGAGCATTGACTTTGGAGCCAGGCAAATTTGTGTTCAACTATTTTCTAATTACTTAAACTCTAAAGTAAGCTTTCCAGAGTGTCTCTTTTCTCATCATTAAGATGGGGTATTAACACCCATCTCACAGAGCTACTGAAGAATAAACAACATATCTGATATCTTGTAAAGAGCTCACACATACACTCTGTTCACTCAGATTCTCCATACCCTCATCTTGTAACTCCATCATTTGAAGGAGTAGCTGGAGAGAAAACAACAACGACAAAACATCCTTGTAACCTTTTATGTAGCTTGCTTTTTTTTTTTTTTTTTTTTTTTTTTTTTGAGATGGAGTCTCGCTCTGTTGCCCAGGCTGGAGTGCAGTCGTGCGATCTTGGCTCACTGCAGCCTCCACCTCCCAGGTTCAAACTATTCTCCTGCCTCAGCCTCCAGAGTAGCTGGGATTATAGGCGCCTGCCCCCATGCCTGGCTCATTTTTGTATTTTTAGTAGAGACAGGGTTTCATCATGTTTGCCAGGCTGGTCTTAACTCCTGGGCTCAAGTGATCCGCTTGACTCAGCCTCCCAAAGTGCTGGGATTATAGGCGTGAGCCACCGTGCCTGGCCGTGGTTTGCTTTTATATATGAATTACACTTGAAGTGTATATGAAGTATATTTTTATATATGAGGTATGTTGTGAATTATACTTCAGGAAGATAGTAACTCTTCTAGAAATATTGAAGAACTTTCTCTTTACCCTCCAGAGTTTCTAAAACTTTTTTATTTATGTATTTTGTTAGTATTAAATTATAATAGTATCTTTTTATAAAAGCTTAAAGATTCAGGTTAATGTTTTATTTGATTTCTTTCTTTTTACCTTCTACCCCAGGATCTATTACTTAAATAATAACATAGACACAAGATATTACATATTTGTTGTGGTCCATATGAGTTTGAAAATAACCATGTTTCCCACTACCTTTAAAAATAATTACTTGTATTTCTGTATTAATTAAAACATAACACATTGATAAAATATAAATAAACAAAAATAAGAAAAAAAGCTCATCACCCAGAGATAGCCTTTAATATTTAGATGTATTTGACGTTATCACTGAAATGCCAAAGTGCAACTCAGTGCCTCCATCTGCCAGTCTGTTTTTCTTTGTGCACCAGTACCTCCATATACTATTTATATTTATAAAAGCAATGTCCTGTTAGGCATTCTGTTTGATTTTTTTTAGATATATAACATATCCTGAACACTTCTCCCTGTCATTAAGAAAATTTAATACACTCTTAATGGTTGCACATTTTCCATGTATTAATATTACAGAAATATACTGTGCTCAATATTATCTTTTTCACAGTTGTAATCATTTTCCTAGGATGTGTTTATAGGATGAATCTGACAAAATTTCTTTTGATACTAATTATAAAATTGATCTATAGCAAAGCCTTATCCCCAGTATAGTGACATCTGCTTCTCTGCAATTTTGCTGGCTGTAGGGCTTGACAGTTTAAAATAATCTTGGACAATGCAATAGGTAGAAAATGATATGAGTTCTTTTTCTATTTCATTGATTACAAGTGAGGGTAAACTTTTTCTTTTTCTTTTTTTTGGTAATCATTCTTCTGTGAAATGCTTGCTCATCTCATCATTTTTTGTGTGTGTGAATGTTTTTGAAATCAATGCAAGTTGCCAGAAATCATATAAATGCTTTCATGGAAATCAAGTAACACCCTCTGCATTTTTATACTTTTAGAAATTGGTAGCTTGTATTTTAGCATCATTCCCTTCTTGCCAGAGATCTCACCAGGAAATAATAAGGGAGATTATTATACTATTTGTATTCCCACAAGAAAAGTATGAGAGCACCTTTCCTTACACTTTCACTCATCTTTTGGATTGTTCCTAGTTTGATAGGGAAAAAGTGGCTTTTTAATTTAGTTTTAACTTTTATTTTTCTAATTATAAGTTTCTTTCCTGTGAGTTATTTACTTATTGTTTTATTTGTACAAATGCTTCATATATTAAGGAAATTAGTTTTATGTGCTATATGCATTTCAGATATTTTTTCTTGGTTTATTGTTTTTGAAATTGGTCATGATGGTTTATTTTATCATGTTTCTTTACAGTCACTGGCAGAAGTATTGACCAGGACACATCCTTCTCTTATATTACTAGAGATTTTTCTAACAGATAAGTCTAATAATCATTACTCTTTCAGGACATTTATTTAGTTAACTATGAATTTGCCTAAAATAAATATTCAACTTTTGTTTCTGCTTCTGTTTCTACTCCCAACTCTGTAGAAAACAATAGTGGTCTGTCTTGGAGAATGTTCCACATGATTTTGAAAAGAATGTGTTTTCTACTGTTGATGGGTGAAATGGCTATTAGGTCTAATTATTTTATACTGCTATTCAAGTCTGCTATTTCTTTATCAATCTTCCTGGTTCTATGCATTATTGAATGTTGGGTATCGCTGTCTCCAAGTATTATTGTAGAATTGTCTATTCTGTCTTCAATTCTGTTAGTTTTTGCTTGATATATTTTGGGGCTCTATTATGTGGTGTATGTATGTTTGTACTTGTCATACCTTCTTGATGAATTGACCCTTTTATCAATATATAATATCCTTTGTCTCTTGTAACAATTTTTGTCTTAAAGTCTGTTTTATCTGCGGTAGCATATGGTTCTCCAGACTTCATACTTATATTGTCATGTAATCTTGAAACCCTCTTGCACCTCAAGAGTGCACTGCTTATGTAGCTTATTCTGATTGTGCCTCTTTCTTTTATTAAATTACAAAGCAGCAACATCTGGTCACTAATATCCTGATTAGATTATGAAGAGGTAATTGTGCATCCCATTGGATATAGTACGAGCTATAGTACAAGTATAGTACAGCTAACTGGGAGGAAATTTTATGACATAGTACATCTCGGTAAGAAGCACTCTGTTAGGGATGAAAGTCTTAACAGAGAACCTGATAAGATAGACGTAAACTTTCGTAGAAAGTCTGTATTTCTTCTTACAGAGCATTCATTGCCTGTTACATTCCATTCTGTGTTTTGCTTGATGAAAACTTCTGTAGTCTGACAGATGGGTAACTAGTATTTATAGTTCTAACTTTGCAAACCTTTTTGTTTTCATGACAATGTCAATAAAAGGGTGAAGGAAGGTAAGCCAGATATTAACTGATGTCATTATGTTTCCAAGATATTTTGTGATTTTGTGTATATGCTCTTACTCTTAAACTATACGTTATTTTAAAATTTGTGATTTTTTGGAGAACATGTCTTTACAAAATAATCTTATCTATAAATACTATGTTTGTTTAGATTTCAAGTGTTATGTGTTACAAAAACTTATTTTATATTTCTTAAAATCATTAAATTTATTTAAAATTGTCACATGTTCCTTCATAATCTAGTTTGGGATAGTAATTGTTTCATGTCTATTTAAATATGTCTTCCCTCTTGATTCTGTCATTTAAACTTTTTAATCAGTACATCAGACTTCTTTCCTTTGTAGGTAAGGTAGTCAACTGTGTGGGGTACTACGTAAATCCTAAAAGACTACAATAAAGTGGCAATGTCTCGGGAACCCACCCCACCTCTACCTGGAGATATGTCTACTGGTCCCATAGCAGAAAGCTGGTGTTACACACAGGTACATGCTCTTAAAAATCCCTCACTTTATGTCACTTATAAATTTTACAGTATGTTGAGAATATTATTGTGAAACACTTTGCCATAGTTATTAGAAGTGTTAGAAGACTGGATCATAGGCTGTTGAACATGTAACAAGTTAAAAGTATTAGCATCATCATTATAAAAGTGGTTTTCTGAATCTCTTAGGTTAAAGTAGTAAAATTTTCCTACATGTGGACCATTAATAACTTCAGTTTTTGTCGAGAGGAAATGGGTGAAGTGTTAAAAAGTTCTACATTTTCATCTGGCCCAAGTGACAAAATGAAATGGTAAGATTTTTGTTTGCTTTGGATTTTTGTTTTTTGTTTTTGATGTGATCATCATCTGCTCATGATTTTGTTGTTGTTATTGTTCCTGAATGAGTATTAATATAATTTCATATTAGATTGGTAATATGTTCCTAATCATGTGGGGAATTATAAAGAACTGTGAGGATGTTGACAGGAGTGCTGTTTGTGATATTAACACATGATTTCAGTATTCTCTCTCTCTCTCATGCTTTTCAAGTATTATATTCCTCCATGTGAGCTTATTGTTTTATTTTAGGTGCCTGAGGGTAAACCCAAAGGGATTAGATGATGAAAGTAAAGACTACTTGTCCTTGTATTTGCTTTTAGTCAGCTGTCCCAAAAGTGAAGTTCGAGCAAAATTCAAATTTTCCCTTCTGAATGCTAAAAGGGAAGAAACAAAAGCAATGGGTAAGTGATTTGCAAACTGAGTGAAGACATTTCTGTAACTACATGTTGTGACTTCTTCTGCACCTTTACCTGGAAAAGTCTGGGACTTTTTCCACTAAAATCTGCTTAACCTGAAACTTTTAATTTGACCATTATTTAAATCCAGCAGAGAGCTATAATTATTTTACTGAGTCTTAGACTTTGTAAAACATGTAAAAATGGTTAATAACATTACTTCTTCATGTCCTAAAATGACATCCTAGTTGTCACTTAGAAAAATAGTTGCTGTTAGGGCAAGGTGCCTGGTTCAGTGCTTGGTATATATAATAGGTGCTCAGGAAACATTTCTCTCTTGCCTTTTTTTGCCAGGTAATAAAATCTGAAGAACAGTGAGAGAGATAGAGTGCCCTGATATTTTGTCACTAGAATTTTTTGAGCAGTAGATTGAACACTGACTGAAAGGAGCCGTTTTTCTTAGTTTCAGGGCCTGTTAATTTCAGTCCAAAATTCACATATATAGCCAGCTGAAATGCAGTAGCCTTGAGCTTCATAATAGAAGAGTGATGTAGGAAATGTACATTGTGTATGGCAGAAGAATAATATTTTCTAGAAATGAATCACAGAATCAAATAACTTGATTACAGAAAATTCACATTCACATACATTTTTAAATAATATATTGCTAACATAATATATATTTTCACATTGTCTTACCTTAAGATAGTGGAGTATTTCAGGTAGATTGATTACTAATTTTCCACTTCCATTTTATTCTTTGTATAATAGATGATGAATACTTTCTGTAGAGGATCTTGTTTACTGCCTAGTATATAGTTGTTATAGAGTACCTTAGACATTTGAAATATTTACTTCAGATATTTATTAAATCTATTACAAATTACACGAAAAGCATCTTTTGGACTTTTATGAAAAATTCTTTTTAGGGGAGAGGAGGTTATGTCTGGAGACTTAGGAATGATAAAGGACTTTATTTAGCTTTTTCACAGGTTCATGGATTTTTCTATAGTTGGATAAAACTTAAATCAGTGGGATGGTTATGCCAGGAAAGCTTAAACATGCCTTGGTATTTAGAACATCCGTTTTTAAAGGGAGAAGCAGGAAATAAGATGTATGTTTCTTACCAGATTCTGATATTAGATGATAAGTAGTGTGCCTGTACCAACATGTTTTGATCCTATTTCATTGTCTTTTAGGGCCTAGATTGTTAAAAAGGTCTCTTCCTTCTCCATGACATTTGATCTGACTTTTCTGTTTGAGATCCAGAAGTCTGAAATTGAGCTCATTGACAATGGCCAAAATTGAGTAGGCATGTGAAGTTACTGTGTCTACCCGACTTAAAACTCTTACGACATTTGATTTATAAACACAAATATCTGCAATTTTTATGATGGATGTATTGGCAAGTCCTGTTTTCACACATTTAACTGTGTTACCATGTTTAAAAAGTCTCTTGGATATTTATTTTATTTGAACTCTATTCTGTTTTCCACCAGAAAGCCAAAGAGCGTATCGATTTGTGCAAGGGAAGGACTGGGGTTTTAAAAAATTCATTAGAAGGGACTTTTTGCTTGACGAAGCTAATGGTCTTTTACCAGATGACAAGCTTACCTTATTTTGTGAGGTGGGTACATCTTTTATTCTAAGGAACCCCATGGTTTATTTAGTGATATGACAAAAGTATAAACTGGATTAATAACCCTTTAAAAATTAATTGGTATAGTTCATCAAGTTTCATTTGTAAATTTTTGACTAGAAAAAGCTGTAGAAAATTCTTGACTACAAATCAGTGTAATGACCCAGTCTGGAAACATGTCGTATTTCTAGCTATAATTTGTGTGTACACTTATACTACAACACTACATCCTTCTTCTCTTGAAAAGACTGTGAATGTGAATATGTGAACATTCCTAAATATTTTCTTCATTCTGAATAACTGACATATATTGTCACTTTTTAAAAAAATTTTCAGATTGATTGTATTCAACATTATTACTGAGAGTTTATCAGTTTGAACCCAGAAGTACCTGGAAAACATTGAGAAGCTTTCTGATTGTTCAGGCAGTTGGATTAATCTAATCAAATAGCATTCTAAGAAATAGTTCCCAAATTTTTAAGATATGTATGTGTCTATTGACAAACTTATAAGCTGTAATTATGTGCATAGAATGGCATATTTTGAAAGTTACTACCATTGCCTCTGCCAGTAATGTACACTTATGATTTGTCCTAATTTGATGTTTGGATTTGCTTTTGTCATGTTATCGTTAGGTAGTTTTATCTATATGAATTTTTGAGATTCACCTTTGGACTGAATTCAAGGATTATATTTTTAACCAGTACAGTTTATAGAGAATATACATCAGTAACAATTTTATCAAAATGTTTAAGGCAGTTGATAATTTTCATAAGAAATATAGTTGAAAAGATTTTTATCAAGTATTCAACAGTAGATATATTTCAACAGATTATCATGGACAGATGAGTGTGTTAGGAGTATAATAACTTATTTAACTGTAAGTTAGCTGTAATCTTTTTACAGTAAGTGTATAAGATTTCTTGACAAGATTACAAACTAATTGTATGACATTATGTCAGAAGAATAATTGAAATATGCCCCCAGGGACTATATAATTGTGTCTTATTTTTTACTTAGACCAGTTAACTGTATGATGAATTTATTATGAATACAATTATTTGGTTGACAAAGCACATAGCACAAGTCTTATTAAATAATTGGGAAGAAAATAGTATTTGTTGCTAATTGGCAGATATTCTAAGTAGTATGCTAAATAAATATAGGTTATGCCATATAAAATTTTTAGCATCCTTACTATAGAGTCTTCCAGAATTTTAGCAGTTATCCTAAATTTCAACATGTAAATTTTTAAAATGTTAATTTAGAACAGAAAGGATCTTGAAGACTATTTAATCCAATTTTAACAAAAACAAAAAATGACCAGCTAAAATAGTTTTAGAAATGAACCTTTTTAGAAAATACTTTTTTTTTTTTTCCAGAATTGAAATAGTATTTACAGATATTTTCCTAAGTACACTGTGCTGGAACCTGGACAACCAAGAAATTCAGAAATAAGGCTGAAATTAAGTTTAAGATTTGTTTTTTGTATGCTTGGTATCCATATGCTACCTGCTTAGTGACCCCCAAAAACAAAACCCAACATGACATGTATTTTAAATTTAGCATCAATCAGATTCATTTTTGGATCCTGAAATACACATCTTTTTGCTGATATAGATAATTATACCCTGGGCACCGTATTTAGCATAGGTGGGCAAAAGGTACTTTTAACTAACATTCTTCATGCCCTCCATTGTTTCTTCCACCCCGCTCACGGATGCCCTTCCTTCTACAGAATCTCCAGCACTGCTTGCAGAAGAGGAGGAAGCATTGCACTACCCTTCCTAAAGAACTGCCTCCTCCCCCTCCCCTGCAAGTGGTGCTGTAGACAGGTAAGGCAGTTGGGTGCTACCCTTTTTGCACAAAACATAACTTAATCTTGCAAGTTCCCTACAGTGGTAAAAGTGGCCAGAGATAAGAGATTGGTAGCAGTGTAAGCAGCTCTGCCCTCTTTTCTCAAAGTGACACAGAAAACAGGAATTGAGAAATAAGTAGGAAAACTAGAAAACTGGTTAGTTTAATTTATCTTTTGAAATCCAACAGATTTTAAATACTCTGATAGTCTACAGACCCATGCCATTTCATGATATACAGGAAAAATATATGTACAGATAAAATATATATAAACAAGTATTTCATGAGGTTTAACTAGCTCATTTTTAAGGACACATCTTTTATCCCATCCTGTTTATCTTTTGCTAAGATAGCGTCTTAGTCCATTTCGTGTTGCCATTAAACAGAATACCTGAGATTAGGTAATTTTAAAAGAACAGAATTTTTATTGGCTCATGGTTCTGGAGGCTTTGAAGTCCAAGATTGAGGCTACATCTGGTGAGGTCCTTTTTCTCACATCATAACATGGTGGAAGTCATCACATGGTGAGAAAGACAGAGAAGATGTGAGGGGAAGAGTGGGGGTTGATGGAGGGCAGGAGGGTGTGTGTGTGTGAGAGCAGGCCAGACTCGCTTTAATAAACCCATTGTCTCAGTAAACACATTAATCCATTCATGAGGTTAGAGTCCTCATGACCTCGTTACCTCTGAAAGGTCTCACCTCTCAAGAGTGTTGCGTTAGGTATTAAATTTCCAACATATGATCTTTGTGGAATACATTCAAATCATAGCAGATAGTCTTTCTGTTTTAAAATAATTATATATGATAGTGGGTGGAAGTTGGGATTTTCTAAAAAGCCCTTTCTTGGCAAAATGAAAAGTTGACTACCCTATTTCTGTCACCAGATTTTTTTAAAAAATGACACCAGTCTATGAAAGTCAAAAAGTCTAAAACTCACTATTCTGGAAGATATTCATGTGAAATTCGACTGTTAAAAGTTTCTCACTTTGGAGCCAGTGTGGTGGGTGTTTGACTAGTTGATTAAAATGGCAAAATTGTAGTACTATGCAGCACTGGAAATTCCTGGCTTTTAGAATTAGTTGGAAAATTCAGATTTCAAAAACTGGAACCAATAGTTAGCTCTACATTGGAAGAGACCCACATTTTTCAGGATAGTCACAGATTAGATCCCTCAAATGTTCCTTGTCACTCTAAACTATATTCTTTGAGTTGAGCCAAAAGCAAATTTGAAAAAGGACTGTCAAATGACTGAGGTTTTGCTTTGCAACATGTAACAATTTTGAGGATTGCACATTTGCCTTTTTTTTCTTTTCTTTTCTTTTTTTTTTTTTTTTTTTTTGTGAAAGAAGCATAAATTTGACCTCAGAAAAGAATCTCAGCCTTTTTCCTGAATTTTTTATTCTAGGTTCCATTCAGTAAGAGTATTCATTACCTGCATTTGAGTATGTAATAGATAAAACCAAATTTTTAACATTTTCTTAAATATAGGTATCAAGAAAATCGGAATCCATTGCATGTGTCAATTTTTAATTAGATCATTAATTTCTGCTCTATAAGTAGTCTCTTGAATACTCTTTGGAGTATGAAGTGTTAATTATGTGTCTTAGTTAAAATTTGTGGTTGCTGTGATAATACTATGTAGATAGGTATGTCAATAATACAAATCTTCTGAATTGTTCTTGCTTATACAGAATACAAATATAATATCAATATCTGTGATAATATTGTCTTTATTTTTTAATCCTTTTATTACCTGATTTTTTTACCAAATTTTTAATTAAGTTATTTTGAATTTGTTAAGAGACAGTAAATAGAATTCAAGAAATCATTTCTGAAATTAAATACATCATCACATTTTGTAACTCTGCTGTATATATCATGCAAGCCATTGAACAGATCCAGTTTTTTCTCTCTAGAAATTTCAAGAGCAGTGCTTGATATGAACAAATAAATGCTGTTAGGGTCTAAAGAGCTGATCCCTTACGAAACCTTGAATATTAACACCAACATTTTTTGTGTCTGTATCATTAGGTTATAATGTGTAGTAGAATAGGGCAGTTGGGTAAGGATTAGTGAAACTTTTTTTCTCTTTATAGGTATTAAAATTTTAGACATAATTTGATTAAAAACTTGATAAGATAGGAGAACCTTTATTGGCAGATTTATTTGTTTATACAATAGCTTGTGGCTCCCATACTTAGAGAAACATCTCACAAGATTGTTGTAATAAATGCTTTTTGATCATAATTGTGTTAATGTTGCTAATTTTTAAAAATATCAAAAAAATATTGCACAAAGAGCCATAAAGAAAGGAATCTGGGCCAGGCGCAGTGGTTCACACCTGTAATCCCAGCACTTTGGGAGGCTGAGGCAGGTGAATCATGAGGTTGGGAGATTGAGACCATCCTGGCTAACACGGTGAAAACCCGTCTCTAAAAATACAAAAGATTAGCCAGGCATGGTGGTGGGCGCCTGTAGTCCCAGCTACTTGGGAGGCTGAGGCAGGAGAATGGCGTGAACCCGGGAGGCAGAGCTTGCAGGGAGCCTAGATCACGCCACTATACTCCAGCCTGGGCAACAGAGCAAGACTCCGTCTAAAAAAGAAAAAAGAAAAGAAAGGAATCTGGAGATTTAGGAGTAGTCTTCCTTTCGTACAAGCCAGCACAATGTGGTTTGGAACACTTTGTTTACCTTGTCTTTAGCACGGTCTGAAGTCTCTTTATAAAATAAGGTGAATAGATTGGATGATTTCTATGACACATATGATTTCAAACGGTTAATATGTAAATTTAGGGCAAAAGTGGTTAATAAAAATATCCTCAGAAAAATAAAAATTTTCTGGTTTTTCTTTAGAAGTGTATGTTCATTCACATGAGATACATGTTTGTATGTTTGGATGTATTGGAACTTCTGAGACTTAATCTTCTCCAAACACTTTACATAATTAGACTTTGTGTTAGCATGTTGGTAGCAAATTTATTTCTGATTCTGTTTTCTGCATAGTTTACTGTATATATGTGTGTCCTCATTTATATTTTACTTAATAAAAGCCTGATGAAATATTGTTAAATTAATGCAGCTATCTATTGCTGCGTAACAAATGATCCCAAAACTTACAAGTTGAAAACAGCAATAGATGAGTAATGTAGCACTTTTTGTTTGTTTGTTTTAAAGTCATTTACTTTGAAACATTTACTTACTAGTTAAGGTAGTGTTTTCTTTAAATGTATTTTTTACATGTATTAAATGTAGTGTGACATTGTTAATAGCATAGTAGAATTCGTTTTTTAAAAAAGTGATGTGCAGCCAGGTGCAGTGGCTCACGCCTGTAATCCCAACTCTTTGAGAGGTCAAGGCAGGTGGATCACTTAAGGTCAGGAGTTGAAGACCAGCCTGACCAACATGGTGAAACCCCTTCTCTACTAAAAACTACAAAAATTAGCCGAGTATGGTGGTGCACCCCTGTATTCCCAGCTACTCGGGAGATCTGAGGCAGGAGAATCACTTGAACCCAGGAGGCAGTGGTTGCAGTGAGCCGAGATCACACCACTGCACTCCAGCCTGGGCGACAGAGCCAGACTTTGTCTCAAAAATAAAAAATCAATAAAATTTTTTAAAAAGTGGTGTGCAAGACTTAATCAGTAGTGTTTTAGGATATTCAGTATGTAGTCATCTTTTATGGGAAATAATCCATATTATATTGGAATCTCCATAAAAATAATACGTAATCATACCTACTTGTATTGATTATTAAGTAAATAAGGGTCTGCAAATTGAACTAAATTATATTGCTCTTGCTCTTCATCTTCCATAAAAGATTTTCATGAACTTTAATAATTACAGTTGCTTTTGTGGAAGTTTTTGTACCTTAACATTTAAATCAGTTTAATATGTATTTAAATTAGTTTTACTAGAAGTGAAACATTAGGAATAACACTTTAAACACTTCTCAATTTGCATATCATAGACTGTAATTTTATCACCTTTTTTATACTGTAAAAAGTCATTTTGACTTCTAAACAAAATACTATGTTTATGTACATATAGTAAAATTTAAATGTAGATAGGTTTGAAGTGTAAGAAAATAAAAAATTTTTTCTCCACCTCACAAAGGTGTATTCTTGTTTGAGTTTTTATATCATATTGTGGCTTTTCTATTGAGAAGTATTTTTGTAATTAATAATCAAGCATTCTGACCAATTGATAAGCCATTTATTTACATAAATTGAAAAAGATCTATATTATTTCTAATTTTTTCATTTCTTTCCTTTAAATTGTGTTTTTAATTTCAGTTTCTAGATATTATAAATTTTGATTAGGAGTACATTGAATTATCCAAATAATCTTAAACATAAAAAAATTTGAAGTATAGACTTAAACTAATTATTGATATTACTTTGTGAAAGTGTTTTTCTTGCTGTTCCTTTTTTATTAGGTGAGTGTGGTCCAAGATTCAGTAAACATATCAGGACATACTAATACAAATACTTTGAAGGTGCCTGAGTGTCGTCTAGCAGAAGATTTAGGTAATCTCTGGGAAAACACAAGATTTACAGACTGCAGTTTTTTCGTGAGAGGACAAGAATTTAAAGCTCATAAATCTGTGCTTGCAGGTACTGTCTACTTATGGGGTAATACAGTACATTTAAAAAATACATTTATGCATAAAATAATGATGCATAATCTTGTTACAGCTCGATCCCCAGTTTTTAACGCCATGTTTGAACACGAAATGGAAGAAAGCAAAAAGGTAAACATGGCTTAAAGGCTAATATTTAATTTATATAAAGGTAAAGTAGTTGGGTGTATGTTTTAAAAGTAGTAGTGCAATGTTCTCATTGTCATACTGTGATAAGCAGGGAAAATTTTTATAAATAGGAAAAAATGTGTTCTATAATAGAATAATAGATGTAGCTCAATGTGGATGTGCAGTGAATATTCCAGGGAACAGCTATTTTTTCTGCCCATCTGGTAGGTAAATTAGATAGTTATTATGCAAAAGGATAGTTATCCAAAGGACTCTTCTGGTCCATAGCTATTTGAGAAGTCTCTGTTCAAGGTATATATTCTGCCTTTGTAGACTTTATGGATTGATTTTTGGAGTCTGTTTTCTAGCAACAAAAATAACATAGATGACATCAGTATTATTGTATACCAACTGTAATCAGGATGTTACCTACTTGACTCCCCCAGATGTTTCTCTTTCACTTGTCATCATGAAATATAGTTATGTTAGAGATCAGAGCTTAATTCTTTGCTGTTTGCATAACTTGTGGACTGTACGGCTCCAGCTGGACAACTCCAGAGTTTATTCATGTGGCTCAATTTTATTCTTTCTGCAGAACTAGATGCTGCAATAAAATAACTGCTTTCTTTCTCAAATTTTGGTTTGGGGAGATGCTGTGATCAGCCTTCTGATCACTTCCAAGTTGGGAGACATCAATGATATCATATACTGTTGACATCAAGGGGTCAGAAAAATTTGCTGTCATTTAGTTAGATATTTAGCTTTATTGATCTCAGCAAAGAAACTAAATACAAAAACATGCAGTAAAAAAGCACTAGTCCTCTTTGGACTTGACTGTTTTTCAGGTAAGCAAGGAAGTGCCAGTATATGATAATACATGCCATTTTTGCAAATGGGAGAATTCTGAGGTAGTGGGCTTTGTTGTTACCTCTAGTAGCTTGCCCTACTTTTGATTAATTCTGGGAATAGAACTGTTTGTTATAGAGTCTTAGGTGTTGTATTAGGACCTAGGGATTCAACAAAGAAAGGGTTCATAGCCAGTGTCCTTTAGAATAGTGGTCAGAAACTTAACACAGATGTGTTTTATTTGGTTTATAGTTTTCTGTTTGTTTACTTTTTTTTTTTTTTTCTTAGCTGTTTTTAATTGAAAACTTGGGGCTCCTTTTTCCACATGGTGGTGCTTGGCTTGGTCTGAATATCCAGATATGGGCTGTCCAGCTGGCCACGGTTCCCACCTCTCTGATAGTGTATGCTTTTCCTCTTGGACTTGTCCACTTCACTTTGCCGAAGTACTTAATGAAGATGTACCTACCTCAATTTTAAAGTAGAATTTAGAAATATCTGTATATGTGTATTTGAGTTATACACTATTTTAGTGTAGATGTAGGGCTTTTAAATTACTGTCAAAGATTCACTTTGGTTCATTTGTGTGTGCATTTTTTTTAACTTTTTTGTGTTGTTTTTTGATATCAGAATCAAGTGGAAATAAATGATTTAGACCCTGAAGTTTTTAAAGAAATGATGAGGTTCATTTACACAGGGAGAGCACCAAACCTTGACAAAATGGCTGACAACTTGTTGGCAGCTGCAGACAAAGTAAGTAATTAGGTCTTAAGGAACCAAAATATACCCTCAAGCTTGATTTATATAGAATGCTGTCATCAAATGCAAACTCCAAATAACTTGTATTATTTGTAGATGGCTCATGAGAGCTTTATGAAATACCATACAGTAGGGTAATCTGGAAATGAAATTTTTTTTTTTGAAGTCACGATGTGAAAGCATCTTGAACCAGAAAGAAGTGATTTTTTTCATGGGAGAGTAACCTGTAAACTCAGTCGTTTTGAGTGTATATGGACTTCCATTTAAAAGAACACACACAGTGGCATATGTAATTTTCAGGTATTTTTAGTCTTGAGATGTAGTGCATGACCTTTTTTAAAAAAAGGAAAAAATATTGGATATTATGTAACTTGATTCTCTCCATGTAGAGATGGTTTTTTATTATGACAGCATAGAGCAAAAACAATATTAACAATTTTATAATACTTTTTTGTAATGATTTTTTGAAGGCAGAGAAACTGCAGAAAACATCAGAAAAATGTATAAGCCAATGGTTCTCAATCATAAAAGCACATTCAGTATACAAGTTCACATATGCGTGTATGTATGTATATATGTACTTATGCATGTGTTATGTGTCGATGGATGGTATATGTGTATATATACACATCATTTGAAAAATGTTACTATTGGGGAAACTGGACCAAGTGTATATGGAATCTATTTTTTCTGACAACTGCACATGAATCTGTAACTGTCTCAATAAAAACTTAAAAACACCATTTACAATAGCAGCATCGTCAGTACTGAATACATAGATATACATTTGAAAAAAGAGGTTTAAAACCTGCACATTGAAAATTACAAAGGTATATTGTGTGATGCTGAGGTTTAGGGTGTGATTCACCCCATCACCCAGGTAATGATCATAGTACCCAATAATAAGTAAGTTTTCATTCCTTGCCTCGCTCCTTCTCTACCCCCTCAAGGAGTCCTCAGTGTCTGTTGTTCCCATGTTTATGTCCATTACACAATATACCTCTGTAACAAACCTGCACATGTATCTCCCTGATTTTAAAATAAAAGTTGAAAAGAAAAAAAAAATTACAAAATATGCTAAAAGAAACTCAGGAAGACTTAAATAAGTACATAAATCTTGTCCATGGACTGAAAGTCTCAATATTGTTAAAATGTCAGTTGTCTTTAAAATTGATAGTAGAGTCACCATATTCCTCTCAAGATTCTAGCAGTCTTTTTTCTTTCTTTTTTTTTTTTTCCCCCAGAAGTTGACAAGCTGATTTAAGATTTTATGTGTAATAACTTTGGGGAAAAAAAGAATAAAGTAGAGGACTAACACTACTTGATATCATGACTTACTATAAAGCTTTAGAAATTAAGACAGTGTGTACTGGTGTCAAGATACACAAATAATGGAACAGAATAAAGAATATGAATATGAAAATAGACCGTCGCATTATGAATATTTAATTTTTGACAAAGGTGCAAAGACAGTTTAGTAGAAAAAGGATAATCTTTAAACAAGTGGTACAGGAACAATTGAATGCTTACATGTGTACCTCAAACCATACATAACAACAAAAAAAAAAATATGGCAGGCCTTGCATGGTGGCTCACGCCTGTAATCCCAACACTTTGGGAGGCCAGAGTAAACGGATCACTAGAGGTCAGGAGTTCAAGATCAGCCTGGCCAACATGGTAAATGAAACCTTGTCTCTACTAAAAATACAAAAATTAGCTGGGCATGGTGGTGTGTGCCTGTAATCCCAGTTTCTTGGGAGGCTGAGGCAGGAGAATCGCTTGAACCCAGGAGACAGAGGTTTCAGTGAGCCAAGATCATGCCACTGCACTCCAGCCTGGGCAAAAAAGCAAGATTCCATCTCAAAAAAAAAAAGTAATGCAAAATGGATCATAAACCTAAAAATCTAAAACTTATAAAACGAAACATAGGAGAAAGTCTTTGTGATGTTAGGTTAGGCAGAGATTTCTTAGCTGTGGCACCAAAAAATCTGTAAAAGAAAAAAATGATAAAATAGACTTCAATAAAATTACAACTGCTTTTCTTCAAAAGACAATAAAAAGATTAGCTACAAACTGGGAGGAAATATTTTGCACAGCAGATATCTAATGAACAACTTTTATTCAGAATATATTTGACTTTTGTATTCAGACTATATAAAGAATTCTCAAAACTCAGTTATAAGAAAACAATGTTATTTCTAAAAGTAGACAAAACATTTGAGCAGACATTTTCTGAAATAATGTCTGAAATACATTAAAAGATATTCTAGTCAAGCATGGTGGCTCACACCTGTAGTCCCAACACTTTAGGAGGCCTAGGCTGGAGGATCACTTGCGCCCAGGAGTTTGAAACCAGCAAATGCAACATAGTAAGTCCCTATCTCTACAATTTTTTTTTTTTTAAATTAGCCTGGTGTGGTGGCATGTGCCTGTAATCTCAACTACTCAGGAGGCTGAGATGGGAGAATTCCTTTAGCCCAAGAGGTCGAGGCTGTAATGAGCCCTAATTGTGCCACTGCACTCCAGCCTGGGCAACACAGCAAGACCCTGTCTCAAAAATAAATGATACTCAACATCATTAGGTCGTTAGGGAAATGTAAATTCAAACCATCATGAGATATTCCTACATATCATTATAATGGCTAAAAGTACAAAGACCATACTAAGTGTTCTCAAGGATGTGGAAGAATAGGATTCTCATATGTTAAAGACATGGAAAAAGTAGGGTTCTCATATGCTGCTGTTGGAAATGTAAAATGGTACAACCACGTTGGAAAAGTGTTCAACAGTTTCTCAGAAAGTTAAACATAAACTTACACTGTGATCTAGTGAGTCCAATTTTAGGTTTTTACCTAAGAGGAAAGAAAGCATATGCCCATACAGGCACTTGTATATGACTAACAGCTTCATTTGTAACAGCCAAGAACTGGTAACAACCCAAATATTCATCAGCAGTTGAATGTGTAAAACGTTTTGTTGTATATCTATGTATGATGGAATAAAAAGGACTGAGCTATTGATAGGCAATAACATTCATTATTCTCAGAATAATTATACTGAATGAAGGAGTCAGACAAAAACAAATATGTAATATATGATTTCATTTATAGAAAACTCCAGAAAATGCAAAGTAATCTATAGTGATAGAAATCATATCAGGGGTATTACCTAGGGTGGGGCAAGAGGGGAAGATTACAAAGAGGTAGGGGGAAACTTTGGGGGACGATTGGTATATTTACTACAGTGTTAATGATGGTTTTATGGCTGTATAAACTTACCAGAGTGTGAACCTTATGTGTACTTTATTGTGTGTCAGTTATACTGTAGTAAAGCTGCTCAGCATGTTACATAACATACACTAATAACTGCAAGAATGTTTAGTGGTTGTAAATATGATTTATTTGACATTATAATGAATTCATTCTTCAATACTGAGTGGTGGCAGCATGCAGTATACTTGGCGGTACACATTAGTGTTTGAAATAGTAGAGAAGTATATTTATTAAGAATACTGAGTAATAAGGTAGCTTTTTAGAATAAATCCTACTTTGAAAAATACACTTATGCAAATTGCAGTTTCCTAAACAAAATTAGTCTTTTTTCTAAGTACATTCATTTATATTTTCTTCATATTAGGTTAAAACAGTAACTTAAAGAATTTTAAAATAATTGTAAAGAATAATCTACTTTACCTTTATTTTCCAAGTTACAAATGTATCATGTATTCAGGAACTTAGTTGGAGTAAATGTTTAATGGTTATGTTTTCATTTTGGATAGTATGCACTGGAACGGCTGAAGGTCATGTGCGAAGAAGCTTTGTGTAGTAACCTCTCAGTAGAGAATGTTGCGGATACCCTTGTCCTTGCAGATTTGCACAGTGCAGAACAGTTGAAAGCACAAGCCATAGACTTTATTAATAGGTAAGCTATGCTTATATTTCAGTGGGCATGACACCTTCAATATTTTTTCACCGGACTTTTTTTTAAGTATGTTTAAATCTTCAATGCAGGTGCAGTGTACTGCGACAACTTGGGTGTAAAGATGGGAAAAACTGGAACAGCAAGTAAGATGATATCAGTTTCTGACTTAAAGTTGCTCTGCATAAGTGAAATTAAATGTTTGCATAGCCTTTTGTTCATCTACAATAAGTATGAATCCAGATGTCATATGAAGCAAACTGCCAGTTATTAAAAACAAACAAACAAAGACTACTTAGTGGATTCCTGAGGCTATGCTCCCTTGTAGGTCAGCTTCTAATGCAACCTCGGATAGATGCTATAATATCTTAAGTGCATAATGCCATGTGGTATATAGCAGAGTCCAGGTATTGCTAGAGATCCAGTCCGTGCCCCTTCAAAAAACATTCCAAAAAGTGTGGGAAATAATTCATTTACTCTTATGAGGAATGTTACCCTCCAGATTTGCTGAGAAAGCCTTTTTGAAGGCTGACTCACTGCCTCTTAGGTTAGCCAGGTACCTTGAGTAATATGCTATATTAGACTAGCTTCCTAATATTCCAAAAATGGTAACAATTTGATATTCCCTTTTCCCTAGTGAACCTATAAGGAGTAGGATAGTTGCTATATCTTCTAAGACTGGATCTTGTGAATATGAGTATACTCTTGTGAATATGAGCATACTATTCTACTTTTTCCCTTCTCTTATTTTTCATGACTTTAATATTCTTTGTAATTATCTGAAATCAAAATGGGGAGTCAATAGGTTGAAGTGTTTGCTTCTGATTTTGATTAGTTTTGCCTATAAACCCTTAAATTTCACTTCCTCAAATTATCAGAAGTTGATGTAAGAAACTGGGAAGTTTTTTTTTTTTTTTTTTTGACGGAGTCTCGCACTGTCGCCCAGGCTGGAGTGCAGTGGCACAATCTCGGCTCACTGCAAGCTCTGCCTCCTGGATTCATGCCATTCTCCTGCCTCAGCCTCCCGAGTAGCTGGGACTACAGGAGCCCGCCACCACACCCAGCTAATTTTTTGTATTTTTAATAGAGATGGGGTTTCACCATGTTAGCCAGGATGGTCTCGATCTCCTGACCTCGTGATCTGCCCATCTCGGCCTCCCAAAGTTCTGGGATTATACAGGCGTGAGCCACCGCACCCGGCCAAATATTTTAAAGAATGAAATGAATTAGTTTATTGACTTAATTATTTCCCATTGCTTTAATCTGTTTTGATATATGTGAAGTTGTTTAACTGAGTTCATCCTATTAGTTTGTAGATTCTGTTTTCTGAAAGTAAAAAAAAAAAAAACTTTAAAACTATTGGTTGTCTTGTATAATATGTTGATCAGTGTATGCTAATATGATATCATCATGGTATTTGATCCTAGAGAAAAATTGTTTTGCGTTTAAAATATATTAGCATCAAATGTCAGTTTAGGATCCTTTGTACTTAGCCATTTTCAAGCGCTAGTTTTACTCTTAAGGAAATACTTTACATTTTATAACTTTTTCAGTGTCAAAAAATAGCTTGTTTTGTACCCCCTTGGAGAAGCTGTATTCATATTCATCAATAGATATTTATTAATAAATGAAAAAGGTATAATAGGTATCTATGTGATTCTAAACAACTAATTGAAATTTTGAACACAATGACACACTGGTATTAGGCTGATGCAAAAGTAATTGCAGATTTTGGCATTACTTTTAATGGCAAAAACCACAATTACTTTTGCACCAACCTAATAATTTGATGTTTGCCAACTTAAAAAATTGTTTTGTTGGTATCAGCTACTATTTAGTTCAGCAAACATTACTCTAGTATCTTCTGTGTGTCAAGTACAATGCTAGGTAGGGTACTGCATATAAAAATAATTTCAAGAGAAATTCTTGGTCCTGAGAAATTTATCTAATATAGATAGATATATAAATATATCATTTCATTATAATATGCTAAGTAATACAATAGAAGAATATGTACAAGCATTTGACTAACCCTGGAAATTTAGAAATGGCTTCCTAGAGATTGCTGAGTCTTAAAACACAAATAGGAGTTAGCAGAACTAAGAAGGAAGTAGCAAGCATTGCAGACAGAAGGGACAGCATGCCAAAGTATAGAAGCGTAAAGTAGTAGTTGATCATTCTTTTGACAGATACTTATCTTTTATTATCCAGTAAATTCCCAAGTTACAGTGCACAGTATAGAGAATACAGTGGTGAGCATGACATATATTTTCCCTGCCTTCATGGAGTTTATGGTCCATGAGATTGATTAAACAGGTAATTGCAATAAAGTGTGATGATAGAGAATATGTAGCATACCCTTAGGAGCATATAGCAGAGACTTAACCTAATCTAGGAATCAGAGAAAGCCTTTTCAAAAAATTGTTATGAAACTAAACACCAGAAATATTGTAGAGGTTACCATGGTAAAGAAGAGGGAAGAGAGGAAGAAAAGTACACCCCAGAAAAAGGGCATGAGATGTGGAAAGTTTTAATAATGAGAAAGAGCAGTAGTGTGTGTGTGTGTGTGTGTGTGTGTGTGTGTGTTGCGGCGGGGAGGTAGGTAATAAGAAGCAGGAGAAAGTAGGCAGAGGTCAGATCCTGAAAGGCCATGTAAAATAACATTAGAATTTTTAGATATTCAGAGTAGTAGGTGACCAGTAAAGGGTTTTCACCCAGAGTGGGACATGATTAGTTTTGCGTTTTTAACAATCTCTGCATGCAGGGTGGAGAACGAATTGTGGGGAGGTTACGGTGGCGATAGTAGTTGAGAAACAAGGTTGAATACAGGTAGGCTAGTTGGAAAGTTACTGGAGTAGTTCAGGCAAGAGATGAGCGGTGGAAATTAGACTTGATTGGTGACAGTGGGGCTAGAGAGAAAAGAAAGTAAGAAATATTTTGAAGGGAGAATCTAGTATTTAGATATGACTTGGATGGTAGATGGCATAAAGGAGAGAAATGAGGCAAGGAAGGGTAACTAGATTTGTTGCTGGAGCATTTATTTACTGTTACTGTTTGGTGAGAGCATAGTGTACATAGGGTACAATAAGTAGTTCAGTATCAGAGTATAAAATGCCAGATCATGGAAGAGGGGGTTGGAAGTGTGGGTAGAGTAAGAAACCAAACATAATATGATGCTGTATTTGTCTTTCTAAAGAACTTGGATATGAGCAGTGGGGAACAATGAAGAGGGCCTCATATATTTGTGTTACCAAGGTAGCATTATGGAAGCTCGGTTTGAGAGGCGCAGGAAACTAGAAGACCACTTAGGAGTCTGTTGTCATAATCCAAACGTGAGATGATGTGGGCCTTAAACTGGGATTCAGGACATCTCTGAAGCCTTTCAGACCTTAAAATAAGGCTTTGATGATTGGAGAGGAGAGTCTATGGTGACTCCCAGATTTCTAGCTTGCATCACTGGATGATGGTGGAAGTTTTAGCTGACTGGAAAGGTAGGAGGAAGAATTTGGGGTTGGGGAGAGGGATGATGAGCTCTCATCTGACAGTCCTGAATTTATGGGTCTTGAGGCACATCCAAGTGAGAAAACCAAGTGGTTGGGAATGAACTTTGTGTGGAGCCCTAGGATTTAGCAAATCAGTAGTTAACATCATTGAATTTCATAGTTAAAATTGTGAATAGTGGATGAGATAGAATGAATAATGAATGTTAAGGGAGAAGAGTAGAGTTCAATATTTGTAACTCAAGAGAAAATCTGCCTTATAAGAGGCATATAAAAGCAGAGAAAGGGGCTCTTGAAAGAGCTGGTACAGAAATGGTAACAATGAGAGTTGAACTGTGAAGACCTATGTCACATACTTTAAGGGAATAGAACTTCCAGAAAAATTTAATAGTTTCAGTTGCCACAGAAAATACCAGTAAGATAAAGATGGTATTTTAATAAAAGCAAATGATTCGAATACCTAGGTAAAAAGTGTCCAAATATTTTGAAATTTGCAGTGCAACAGTACATTTTGAAAAGTACTCTTTAGTAAACATCTTTTTAATTCTATTTCTCAGCCAAGCAACCGACATAATGGAAACATCGGGGTGGAAGTCCATGATTCAGTCTCACCCTCATTTAGTAGCAGAAGCCTTTCGAGCACTAGCATCTGCACAGTGTCCACAGTTTGGCATTCCACGCAAACGGCTAAAACAGTCCTGAAATCTTCCATGAACAGTTGAAAAATGGAATTGACTTTTACTCCTCCAGGTCCAGAAGGATTCTAATACACAAACCATAAGCAAGAGTTGTTTCTGTTATTTTGTCCACAGAACAGAAGCTGAAAAAGCATATTGCTTGCATTTCAGGTGGATAATTTATGGTTTATTCTTCAGCTTTAAATTAGACTGATTAATTCACTTCAAGGCCTTAAATTATCTTCAGTGACTTCTCTTGTTCATATAATACTTTAATTTTTTTTTTATTGTGCCTTGTCATTTTGACCAAGGCTATGCAGAATTGCACTAGCTCCATAATGCAGTAATATTGATAACTGAAGATATTAAGTTTCAAAAGGATCTTCCATTATTTTGCAAAAAGAAAAATGAATTTTATAGGGTTTGTCCTATGCTATCTCAAAGTTTAAAACTAAGTTCTCTTTAAAAGCACTTGTATTGGAGATTACCAGTAATGTCTCCAGTCTAAGTTCTATAAATATGGGAGAACCCTCTTACCTTCAAGGTAAGTTACGGCAATACACTGCTTCAATTCTAATTTATTTTTCATTTCAGGGGGCAAATATGCAATGAGTTGGCCCAGATTTTTAGTGACATTTGTGATGTTTGTCTTGTATGTTAACTGTCCAACAAACTGTGGGTTTATTCTAAGTTTACAATGATTAAGAACTGATTGAGGTTAAGATTTCATGAAGAAAGCATGTATTGTGTGGAAGTAATTTTTTTTTTTAATTTATACTGACCTACATTTATATGAAGAATTCTGTACATGTTAAAAGTAAGGATGACCAAATGTAAATTTAATGATTGGGCCAATTAAGAAAGATATATATGCACTTTTACTGTGTAACTTTTGTATGCTGAATGGTACATATATTTTTTTGCTTTTGAGGGAATTATTAAGGTATAATTAATTGTGTCTTAACTTTTGAAAGAAATTTTTAGATGGAGACAACTGGGATGTTTATGATAATAGATAAGAAATATCCTTGATTGTAGTTAAATTGGTTTGGATTACAGATACTCATTATTGAATTGACTCCTATTTTCTCACATTTTGGAAAAGACACCTGAACAATAAATGAATCCTGGATAGTCAACTCTCCTTCACGTAGTGAACTGATACTTGCCTGTGGGAGATGCATACCAAAGGAGAGAACCCTTAGACTATGTCAGGTCACACTAGGAACCTCCCCGCCTCCCCGTTTTTCTTCATTGTGTTTCAGTTACTGTACTAACATTGTGGATGATACTGAAATTCTGCATAATGTGAACAGGATAAACTATTTATAAACTGAATTTCATGGGCCAGTTCTTTATTATAAATGAATTTTAGCTTTAAATACATATACACGTTCAGTGGTTGATAGTTGTGTTCTCAAGGGAGGTTTGTTCTGGTGCATTGTCCTGGAGAAGCAGAAGTAGTCAGTGTCGGGGCACCACATCTGACTTACTGTGGTGGTGACAATGTGCTTCTTAAGGGCACAATTTATGTTTGACCACAAGGGAAAAAGTGTGTCACTGGAAAAAAATGCATATACCTATGTTTGCAAACATAACTATTCTTCAGATAAAAATCTGTATAATTTGTTTATTTAATGTTTGAAGTCAGGACAAAAGAAAAAATGAAGCTTGAGGTGTTTTCAAATAGACCTTATTTTTGCTATCTCTTTGTTAGGTGTTAACTGAAGCAATTTTAATGTATCCAGATTCATCGGGATTCATATTTACATTGAAAAAACTCAAATAACCTTTTGTTATCCACAACAACCTGGAGTTTAAAAAGATCGTATTTTCACCTGTCTTCATTACTTTCTATGTAGTTTCATTCTTTGTCGTGGTAACTTAAATTTGAAATTGGAAGAATCTCTTGGGATAGAAGAAAGATTCTTACCTGGTGATGGACTTCATCCTTCATCCTGTGTAAAGGTATTATGGGAGGTAGAAATTCACTTCCTTAAATCCGTCATATGATTGAGCCTCTTAAGTTTGCAATATTATAATTTTAAAAATCACATACACACATACATATGTATACATTTCCAATTTAAGATTTTTCGAGGATCTTATAAGAAAACAAAAATTCCCTCAGGCTATAGAATTATGTTGTCATATATCAGAAAAGTACTGATGTATCCATTTATATATCCAATGCACACCACACCGGCACATTGTGAATTAATTCACCGCTTGAATCTATATTTCTAACCACAGTGACTTCAGTAAAAATACCATATAATGAACATTTCAGCTTCTTCTTACTTACTCGAGAGTTTATTGCAAATCTTAAGGATTTTATTATAAAGATTTTTTTTTTAGTTTGGTAGCACATTTTGTACCAAAAATGTCAAACACTGTGCTGTAAGAATATCCATGTGTGTAGAAATGTCCACTTTTCAGATAATATAACGCCTACCATTATACTAACAGAATCATATGGTAGTTGATTTATTTTTTTATTTATTATGTATATTTTTGGTATTGTGGGTTCTTGAGGCAATGATAAAAACACTTAATGTATTCTGACATGAGTGCTCTAATAGCCTCCTCCCCCTCATTTTTAAGCTACATACATTACTTTCAAAATAGGCATAGATATTCTCTCCAGCCTTTTGAACTATTAGCCTGTTCCTGTTTCCCTTTGTCACCTTAAGCAGGGCTTTTTCTGAGAAAGTAGTGAATGGTTTAAAATGTTACATACTATAAAAATAATCATTGAGTAACTGTTGTTTAGACCAACACTTAGAAATACTATATTTGTGCCTTTTCATTTTTTAATTTTAATGTGTGTTGATACTTGGAGCACAAATAATGAAGGTGCCATAATATGGCTTGCCAATGTTACCTCCTTGAATAGTCATGTGTCATTGTCTTGAAATGGTAATTGGAGAACCTTGCATGAAATAATGTGATCATTTGTGTGTGTGTGTGTGTGTGTATGCGTGTGTGTGTCTGTGTGTGTGTAAATACTTGTATTTGTTTGGGGCTTGTGTGTGGTATGTTAAAAAGAGTGAATTTCTGGAAATAGAAATCAGTTAAATGTTGAAAGTTCAGGTTAGCAGAAATATTTCATTTAAATGTGCTTTACTTTGGAGGACAATTGATTAACAGAGCAAATGATAATTTTCAAAAATGTGATCAATTTACTGCATGATGAAATGTGAAAACAGTGCCTTTTTAGGACATCAGTTATAATAAAATTGTTTTAAAATATTAACAAAGATCTCAAAAAGTTGTCATGAACATTATTGGTTTTTTTAAAACTGGATCTAAATAAGAGCTTAGATGGCCAAAATTAGAATTAATAATTTACCCGTTTAAATTTTGTGCATAAGTTTAAAATCTTAATCAGAATTCTTTATAAAATGTGGGTCATAGATATGACCCAGTGTTACTAAAATAGAACAGGGATTGTGAAAATCCAACTCAACATACTTAAATATACTTGGCTTAGAGCCAAGCATACTTGACGAGGTGAATTATTCTGACTTGGACATGCATGCTCTTTGATGGATAAAATAAAAATATTCAATGTATTCTTACAAAAGAAGGTGGGTGGGTGAGTGGATTTGTTTTAGTGTTCTCAGATTATAAAGACAGCACTTTCCGCACACATGAGTGTATTTTACAAACCTTTTTTATACAAGTTAATGAGCTCTACTTTATTTAAGTGTTCATGGAATGATGTAAATTTTAGGTCCAGTTGAACAAATATTGAGTGCCTAACATATGCAGGACTAACTCCTTACTAGGAATGAAATCACACAGTGTCTTCTGTTTGCAGTATGTGAACTTTATGTTTGAAAAGAAATTCTTATATTTAAATTTTTCTGTTGTCAGAGTTTATCATTGTATACTGTAACCCAGTAAATTTTGCATTCAGTTTTAAAAAATGAAGATGTAACTTACGTGAGTCTCATTTTTGAAAATGAAATTCCGCAAAAATTATTTAAAGATTAGTTCTTGGGGAAATTGATTTTCAAGATTCAAGTGTATAAAAACTTATATTGAACTTTTCAGCCTCGTTTTTAATTAGCTGATGTTAATGATAAGATACATAATACTTGTATCTTGTTGCTGAAAATATTTTTTGCATTTCAACATGAGTTAAAATAAAGTTGTTACTACTTATTCAGAATTAATCGGCTATCTTGTGTTTATTTGAAAAATACATACTCTTTTTTAGATTGATACGATGCTTTGCGAAAGAGCCATGTATTTGATATGATAAATCATGCATAGTAATTGTCTTTTCTACATAGGTAAGCTCTTATTTTTTGAAACCAATTGAAGACATTCTTAACTGTGAAATATTAATATGCATTTATTTTAATATGTATGAACCATCAATACTGGATGACTTATTCTAATGCTATGTACGATTAATGTAACACTTAGAGATCACCTTTTCCCTGTCATTCCTATCCCGTCTTAATTTCAGTTATCCTAGACAGTTTAATCATTTGATGCTATCAAAAAGCAAATTGGGGAAGGATATTCCTGAATCAGTTTAACAACAGTAACACATTTCGTACTTTAAAATTATGGCCAATGTGGTGGTAGAAAGGCACAGTGAAAAGCCTTCCATGTACCTCAGAAACACATACATGTACTGAATTTTCCCTAATAGAATAAAAGCGGGTTGAAAAATTTAGAACATCATCTATGCAAGTATAGTAAAGTAGGATAAGTGGTTAATAATATTATAAATGTTACTAATGAACTTTGTGTAACCTTTTGCTTCTACTCTGCCACAGCCAGTCCCCTTAATAGTTTGAGAACATTGGGATGTGGTGTCTCCGTCTACCACCTCAGAATCATTTGTTCCTAAGAGAAGACGAAGAGTGGCATTTGCTTTGATCACTGTTTTTAAATAGAATACACATTGGTAGAAATTTTTCACATAATATGTTGTTGCTTTTGCGGGGGCTGTTGGGGAATACCAGAGAGGTCTGCATGCCTCTGCGGTGTACAGTGGCAAGCAAAAGGTTTGTCATTCCTGTTGTCCTCTTGTGCTTCCTTTCCACCTCTCCCTGGCTCTTCCCCCACCCCCTTGTTCCTTTTGTAAAGGATGCAGGTGTAGTCTTTTGCCAGCCTGTGACATAACACCTGAACAATTTCTATGGTATCCTACCCATTTGCTGAGATTCAAACCAGGCCTTAATCGATAGCAAGCAAAGAGAAAAAAAGGTGGGATTTGTAAATAACAATTACAGCAAAAAAAAAAAGTGCACTGAGAACTCTGCTATTCTGCTCTAAAATAGATACATTGCCATAAGCAGAGGTTTTTAGACTTTTTATAAAGTCCTAAAATAATTGTGATAGTCATTATAACAGGCAAAGATGAAAAATGAGAATGACATGCAATTGAAAAAAGGTACTAAAGTTAGATGCATTAAATTTGATCAACACCAGAAATGATAAATCAGACATTTGAATCAGTAGAAGACAAGGTTGAGAAATGTTCCCAGATTATAAGGACAAGAATAGAGAGATGAAGAAAAAGACAATTCAGTTTAATTTATATTAGCAGTTAATTAAATGGAGTGCCTGGCACTGTGTAGAGCTGTTTACAGTGATAAAGTAGAAATGGTCTGTGTGTTCATAAAGTTTATTTTCTTGAAGAAGGTGCAGTCATATAATAGTAGGGGATAATTGTGATAGGAATACAAGAGGAGCCCCTAAACTGGGATGAGGGTGGGAGTCCCAGATGACTTTTCTGAGGAAGTGATGTCTAAATTGAGATTCAGTGGAAACTAAGCAGGTTAGTGAGGGTGTCATCCAGCCCATTATTTGAAGTCTTAGAGGCTGACCAAGGTTCATACAGAACATTTATAGAAATGAAAATGAACATGACTATATCCTACTGTGTAAAGGGAAGAAAGGACTAACACAAACCAGTAAGGCAGGGTTACAGTTTATTACAAACCTTATTAAAGGAACCTGACTTAACCTGGGAGGACTGAAGTATTTCAGATGGGGGTATTTCATGCTGATCAACAATCTGTCAATTTTTACATAGTTTGGAGGGGGCTTTTCCCATTAGGGGGAGAGTTGAGAGAAAACATTGAAACAACTTGAAAATAAATTACATATGGTAGAAGGGAGAAAGAGGAGTTAAGAGTGGCTTCCAGGTTCCAGGTTTTGCATTTGGCTAACTGGGTGGAGGGTAGTTCTGTTCACCGATAGAGTAATCACAAGAATGGGAATATTTTTGGGGAAAAAAAAATTTCATTTGGAGGCTATTGAACTTAGGGTTCCTATGGTGCATTCTGGTTGGATATGTGAATCATAAAAGTGATCTCAGTTATAAACGAAGTAATCATCAGTACACAAATGATAATCTGTTTATGTAGGCTGAAAAGAAGGCAGCTTAGGGTAGAAACATAAAATGTTATCATTATGCTAAAAAGGATGCATAATAAGATTAAATCAGTAACATTTCCCTCCAGGAAGTTGGAGAGGAGAATGTTTCAGGAAAAGAAATGTCTAACAGTGTCACGTTCTGCTGAGTGGCCAAATAGGAAGTTAAAATGTAAAACATTTTTCAAAGAAGAAATGAAAGGAATCTTTGAGGAAAGAAGTAGAATCTGAGTGAGGAAATGGATTCTCCAAGTATAGGAGAAAGTAGGCCTATATTTGGAAATTTTATACAATTGTCTTCCTAGGAGACTCAAATTTAGAATTTCATGTCAGCTTTGTAAAATGGCTAGGAAAATCTAGAGATAATCCACAGGATATATGTACTGACAGAAACCATCGATGGGAAATAAAATTCCAATCACAGTGGCAGAAAATAAAATGGAAAAAGTCTAGGAATTTTCTTGAGACTTACAGACTCTACAAGGAAGAAAATATCCCACAAAATTTTACTGGAAGATAGGAGAAAAAAAAATGAATACTACATAAAGTAGAAAAAATAAGCCATACTATCATGTACCGATATTTAATAAAAATATACTTGAGGAAAATATAAGACAAGAATATAATGATAATATTTGTCTTCAGATTATGTACTGGGGTCGTTTGTTCCAATGTACTGCATTTTCCAAGCTTTTCATAAAACAATGTATTACATTATTAATAAGAAAAAAGGTTAAATATTTTTAAAATGTACACGCTGGGCAAGTCAGTATATCAAAGCTATCCAGAATGGCAAAGATGGTAAAATCAAAAACAGTAAATCAGTGAAATCATTGACTACACCAAGCTTGGGAAAGGTAATATAGGTCTTGTGGTTGATTTGGCAGTTTGTATTTAATTCTTACGCAGACCATCATTACTAATGAGATGTTTGTAATCATTTGGAAGTAATGTGGCGTGCAATTGCTAGGATAATGTAAATTCCTCTTATTTTGAAAAGACATTTCCCCGTCAGGTGAGGTGGCTCATGCCTACAATCCCAGCACTTTGGGAGGCTGAGGCAGGCAGATCGCTTGAGCCTGGGAGTTCAAAAACCCGTCTCTATGAAAACTGCAGAAATTTTTGTATTGGGGAGTATTATGGCATGGGCCTGTAGTCCCAGCTACTCGGGAAGCTAAGGGGGACGATCGATTGAGCCTAGGAGGTTAAGGCTGCAGTAAGCCAAGATCACATTACTGCACTCCAGACAGATTGAGACCCTGTCTAAAAAATTTTTTTAAAAAAAGACACTTACCGAGTGTGTGTGTGTGTGTGAGAGAGAGAGAGAGAGAGAAGGAGTGAGAACTGTTAACATTCAAGCATAAAAGAACTTAGCACATCGAAGTCTTGATCAAATCCATTCCTCTTGGGATTTAAGGTTTTAGGCTGAATGGACAAGTGTCTCCTGTTAGTAATAATTACACAATTGAGCCCTTATTTGGCATAAGATACAGTGATGCCCAAAAAAAATACAAAAATAGACGTGTCCTTTAGTTCACCTTGCTGACAATTAGAGAAACAGTTATTAATAATGATCAATCTTGCTAGATATTTATAAAAAACAGACTTTGTTCATTTTTTCTGTTGGTGTCCATTTTCTGTTTTATCAGTGTGTCCTCATTTAGCTTTATTACTTACCCTTTGTTTCCTAGCTTCTTAAGGTGAAGACTTAAATCATTGATTTTTATGTAGTTCTTTTCTTATAAACATGTAAAGTTTTTAATTTTTCTCTAGCTGCTGCTTTAATTATATTCTATAATTTGTTTGTTGTATGTACATTATCACAAGTTCAAAATATTTTCTAATGTGCCTTGGGATTTATTCTGTGGCTCATGGGTTTATCTTCTATATTTGGGAGAATTTTCCTAGCTATCGTAGTTTTATTGATCTCTTAAATCTGTGGTGGTCAGATAATATACTCTGTATGATTTCAATCAGTTGACATTTATTGATACTTGTTTTATGGCACAGAATATAGTCTGTGTGAAGGTTTTATATGCGTTTGAAAAAACTTTTCTGCAGTTAATTGTTGTGTATTATGAATGACGATTAGGTAGAGCTGATTGATAGTACTATTTAAATCTATATGTTTACTCATTTTTGTTTCCTTTTTTCCAGCAATTACCGAACAATGGTGTTAAAATCTCTAACTTTATCCATGGATTGGTTTGCTTCTCCCTTTAGTTCTGTTAACTTTGTGTGTATTTTGAAATTCTGTTATCAAGGGCACACATATTTAAGTTTGTTATGTCTTCTTGATTTGTTGATTTTTTTAAATTTTCACGAAAGATCTTTATCAATAGTGAGACCCTCTTCATTTTAGAGTTATTTTAATCATTACTGTTGTCACATCAGCTTTTTATACTGTTTTAAAAGTTATCTTTCCCCATTCTTTTACCTTCAGTTTACTTCTCTCCAAAGTGTTTCATGTAAATAGCATATAGTTGAATCTTGCCTTTTATCCAGTGTGAAAATCTCTGCACTTCGAGTGTTTATTCCATTTCAATTAATGTGATTATTTTTAAGTTTGGGTTTAACTCTTCCATCTTGTAATATTTATTTATTCCATCCATTTTTTATTCCCCTCTTTCTCCTCTCCTGGTTTATACTGAATGAATTGCACTTTAACATTTTCTGTTTTATCTTGTATATTCAAAATTTCGCTACAATTCCTTTGATCTGTTTTCAGGTTGCCCTAAAGATTACAGTAAGTACCGTTAGCATAGTCTATTTCAA